TTTTAGAATGAAACGATACCTAGCGCTCGTCGCCTAAATCCAAATGGCCTCTTACGTATTCTTCTATTATCCCACTCAAGTTCGCAGGGATATGCTTGATCAGAAACCTTCATTGTTTGTTTTTTTGTTTGTTTGTTTTCTTCTCTGTCTACTTTCCTTTTCTCTTGCTTGTTTGTTGCAAAACGTAATTCAGGAAGAGCTGATCACGGGCAGGTTCATTCCCAGAGCTTCTTAACAATCATATTTTGAAACAGTATTTTCCAAAACACTTCTTAGTTTCGGTAAGAAGACGCTGTTAGGAACTTGAGCCCACGTTTATCCCCAGTATGAACATTCTCCCTCGGGGTAATTGAAGCCCAGACACGACAGAGCGGGGGAAATCGCGACTACATCTGCCTGAACGTCAAATGATATTTTACTATCAAAATAGAAAAATCCAAATTCGCCTTCGGCTATCTTAGCTCTTCCTACCGAGATTTCATAATAATGAAACAAGGTGTTGAGATCGCTGTCAATCAAACGAGATTCGCAATATTGCAAAAGGGTCTTCCATTTCCCTTTGTAAATTAAGTGAAATATCCATCCGTCTCCCGTAAAATCTCGTTTAATTTCGCTTTTGTTACATCTACTAGTACAATGTATTTGTTAATTGTACGAGAAAATCGTTGAACAATCAGAGAATTTCTGTCAAGGAATGTTATGAACGTGGCTCTATTCTTGAATTTGATATGCTAATGATACTTTTGCCTGCTCTGAAACCAGAGACTGAGAATATAAAATATTTGCCTACGGCAACTTCTACATGTTGAGCCAAAGAAAAAAATACAAGGTACATCAAGTATTTCCGTAAGCTTTTTTTAGACACAGCAAGGAGAGATCTCATGCATGCACCCCCATAACTGATCAAATTAATAGTTTACGACTTCAAGTAATAAACGGATTCTAACCAGGGAACCACAATTTTCCAACCTTGGGACGATTGAGATTGAGAGCAAGTATTCCCTGTCAAGGAATTAACGTCATGTGCCCTTGGGCACATCAGAGTTGTCAGCCTGTGGTTTATAGAGGTAAAAGTATCCGACGTGACTGGAGGAAATCACAAAATTTATTTCAAAGCCAAAATTACGAGTGTGGTTCCCCTTATTAGTAAATATTTATAAAATGTTTGCATGCTGACCCGGTTGTACGTGCAGCTATCTTACTCTAACAAGGAAGTTTACATGAAGAATTGACGTCTATGTCATTTTTACGGCATACAATTTAGTTACTCATCACCTCAATTGGAACAACCTAAGCATATGAAAGTGTGATGATTCTCCAGCGATGCAAAGTGCTTGAAATGATTTAAGTCAAAAATTTCAGATATAAAGAACAAAATATGATTTACTGCCGATAGTTGAAGTGATATCATGATCGTCGCCTGATAATTGCTCAGGACTATACAGGCATTATCCACAGCAGAGGAACACCTCGCAGCAACTGTGTCGGAAATTCCCATTTACTGACTCAAACGTGATACTCAGATAAAGAAAAAAATGCAGAATAAAACTAGGTGCAGGAACTGCGTGCCATAACAGTTATTTGCGATCAGTAAATACAATCGCATCGCATGGGAAGAATCTAATTTGTTTTTCTCCGATGATTCTGGCATATTTTCCAAAAGACATGATTGATGTTTCCTAATTCAGTCGTCAATAAATCTAAATGTGAATGATGTCTAATCAATTTTTCACTCAGTAAGTCAATAGCGCTCTAATAAGTGAAAATCTACTAAGTATTGGCACAAAATGTAGAATGTGCAGCATGTAAAAAATTTTGCCTATGTAAACTTTACAGTTTTTTCTTCAATCCACCAAAGGATAAACTGCAGGGATAGGGTCACGCGAAAAGGAAATCAAACAAAATTAGAACGAAAATTGTTTATTACCTTCAACTCGACGGAAATTTAATTAAAAGTTTGGCGGTCCGAGTTCTAGGGTCAGATAAATTTATGCCAAAACATTTGAACATTGTACTCTTGAGCGTCACCCCTGAAAATTACGCTAAAAAACTTTTGTATGTGCTCAATGTAATTTTCAATTGGCAAAACTTGTTACGAATAAAAGGCTTATCGAAGTTCAGAACTCAACATTTTAGTGGATGACATTCCTAAAGTGCACACAGGAATAGCAGGCTCACTGTTGACAGTACTCAGGCGACAGAATTTATCCCCTATTGAACTGTAACATCAAGGGAATTTGAAGAAGTTTAGTCATTATGCGAGCATTATGCTCACTATTCTGACCATGGCTTTATGCCCGAAATTATCCCGGAATAATTTATCTGACCCGACCGACTTCTAGCAGGGGGCGATGAAGAGCGGACGTATTTAAGACCGTTTTTAATGAACGCCACTGTAATTCCGCTGTACTCCTAGGTCACTAAGTTAAAAATCCTACGTTTCCTTCCTTGCTCACGTGGTACCACTTGAAAAAAAACCAAGAAAATCGCAAATTTCAGCCCGATTTAAATCCACTTGAAACATAGGAGAAGAGGAATGGAAAGTGGTGGGTCTTGCAGGAGACGAAAGAGAGGTTAATATAGCAAGACCTCGAAAAAAAAAACGGCGCAAATTGAACTTCCAAACACCTACTTTCTTACCATTTTTCTATGCAGCTGATTTTAGTATTTCGGGAAAATTGAATTAAACCAGATTGCTGTAAACACGACTTCAAGGTTTACTGAACGTAAAGGAAAATCCCGCTTGTTATGATAAGATTGACGACTAGACTTGCATAATCGAAAAGAGTACATGGGAAATTACGTCTGGGGCGGGATTAATGTCTCATGTCTCAATATTCACGGCAAGAGATGACATTATTCATAGCCTGTAGTTCAAAAAGCAGGACTGGACGCGGAGATAGCTACCCACGCAATAAAGGTTCATTATATCCCCTTGGGATAATTTTTTTTTTTCCTACTGAGATGATGGAAATAGTTGTGGGTAGCAAAAGTACGTGCTTTGATTGCGGGGTTCTTTGCAGTCTCTCCAAAGATGTCACACCTATATAT